CGAGCTCCTGCCAGCCCCTGGCGAACAGCCGGGCACCGTTGTGCTGTTGGGGTCTCGGTGAGTGACCCTCTGACAGACACCCCTGCCCCCTCGATGGCTTTCAAGTCCCAAGACAAAACCCCTCCGTTTCCTCCCATTTTTCTCCCCTCCTTCTCTATTAACCAAATTACACACAGCACATTGGGGAGTTGGAGACGCTGGGAAGGGCACTATTTAAAGAACTGATTTTTCCAAAAAATAGCACCCCGAAGACCACGCTCAGCCACCAAAATAAGTGGCCTGATTTCCAAACAGCTCAGCAGCCCCACAGCTCTCGCCACGGCATACGGCTGGGCACGAGGGCTGGGGCACAGCTCATGTCCCGCCGGTGGGCACGCACCCCCCCAGGCAGCATGCATGCCCCTTCCAGGTCTGTGGCATCTCCTCGTACCCAACAGGGACACTTGGGGCAGGAGGGACAGCTTGTCCCTTCCTCCAGCCCCATTGCATTCGAGCAGGGATACTGGTATTGGAGGGGGAACCAGTTTAAGGGTCCCCCAGGTCTCGATCTCCGCCAGGATGTGATCCAGGGCCACCACTCCTATTTGGGAAAGACGCTTAAAATGAGCCCCCAGGGCGGCTGGTGATCTCACTACGGTGGTCCCCGACCTCGTTACTCCCCTCCCGCAGAGAGCAGCCAAGACACGGCACGCAGAGCTGGGAAGGAGACGGCTCTTTAAACCCCTGTCCTTCGAGGCCGGGGCGGCACCCACCTGTATTTCCAGCTGCTGTACCACTTGCATCTGGACTCGACACTGGGCCGTGCTTCGGTCATCAAGTGCATGTTCTGTATTGAGGTGTCTGGGGAGGAGAACACGGGGGTTTGTGCCTGGACGTGCCCACAGCGCGGTCCCTCTGCCGGGGCCACACCTGGGATCAGCCCTGACCTGCAAACCGCCTGTACCGCAAGCAACGCCCAGGGACGCCCGGGGATGTTCCGGCACTGCTGCCCAAAGCGTGACGAGCAGAAGGGAAACTGAGGCGCGAAGGCGGCCAAGCAAACTGGGCCGTGGCTCTTCCAGAACCCAGGCTGGAGTGCAGCCGTGGACCACCAGCCCTGCCCGGGGCAGCCCTGAAGGACCAGCCACTGCTGATGGAAAGTCCTTGAGAAGGCTGCTGGCAGGAGGCGCCCGGGAGGACCTGAGGAGCAGGTTTCCAGGACAAAGGCGGCATTATGGAGATTTACTTACACCCTCTAAGGAAAGCCCCGAAGGCAGAAGCTGACATTTCCGGGGTGCTCCTCATCCTACCGCTTTCATGCCTTATGTTTATAAGGCACTTTATGTTTATAAAGCACAAGGGCATTTGGTCACAGAACCATAGAATGGTTTGGGTTGGAAGGGACCTTAAACATCATCTAGTTCCAACCCCACTGCTGCGGGCAGGGACACCCTCCACTAGCCCAGGTTGCCCAAAGCCCCATCCAACCTGGCCTTGAACACTGCCAGGGAGCCAGGGGCAGCCACAGCTTCTCTGGGCAACCTCTGCCAGGGCCTCAGCACTCTAACAGTAAAGAATTTCCTTCTAACGTCTAATCTAAATCGACCCTCCTTCAGCTTAAACCCATGGTCCTCGCTGCCCTCCCTCCTTCTCGGGGAGGGGAAGCGCTCCTGGCTGAGGCAGGCAGCTGCGGAGCCAGGGATACCCCGGCATCGCCTTGAGGGGGGGTCCTTGCCCCCAGGACCCAGCAAAGCGGCAGCCTGGGGATGCACCCAGCCCCGAAGGCATCGCGTGGCCAGGTCGTGTCCTTGCTGGGGTGGGTGCAAACCTGGGGGGTCCTCACTGGAGGAGTGAGACAGGTCAGAGGGGGGATGCTGGGCGGCAGGGGAAACCATGCCGGGGCCACCCCGGGAACACCCCAAAAGGTGGCATCTGATGCTGGGAAACACGCGGGTGTCCCAGGGCCACGGGCCAGCGGGACCAAGGACCAAGACTGAGCTATTTTTGCTGAGACATCCCAGGAGAAGGTGCCTCAGGAGTATCTACCCTCAGTCCAGATGCAGAAGATGGCGAGAGTCTCACCCAACCGTTTGCAAGAGACTTCCAGCCCCAACTTGCACAAACAAGTTAGGTAACTGGGACCAGCTGCCAAGCCCGTCTGTGAGCAAACCCCGCCGGTGTCTCAGCCCCTCTCCCAGGGCTGCGGCTGGACCAAGCTGCCCGCTCCTCTCCCCACACGGCAGACCGAGGGCACGGCCGTTTCTTCAGGAAAAAGCTATCGAGAGCGTAGGCTGTGCTGAGTGGGAACGGAGACGTCTCCCACGAACCCTCACAGGCTTTTATAAACCCCCGCTCAAAGGATGCGCTGCCCCTTCGCACCCCAGTGCTGCTCCGTGGAGCTGATGCTCAGCGCGGGCGTGAAGCCAGCGCCCGGACTCCAAGCAAGGTCCACGCTGCAGCTGGGCTCGGCCGTTGGGAGCTGGGAGTTTGCCGTCTGTCTGTCCCACACCCCAACGCCCGCTCGCGTTGGACAGAGGAGACAGAAACACTTCACTAGTGCAAGCGTTACGCGTGCCCAGGGGGGCAGGGAGGTGGGGTGCAGGGACCCTCCAGCCCCCGGCGGCACAGCAAGGCTCTCCCGGCACCGCGACCCAGCCCCGGCTGTCCCCTGCCAACCCCGGCTCCACCTTCCAAACTGGAGCTTGCTCATCTGCCCCGTGCCATGTAAACATGCCCAGAGAGGTGGGCAGAGCTGCCTTATCTAGGTTCACCCGTGAGTCAGAGGAAGAAGGATGCAGGAGCCTGACTCATTCACTCAAATGCCACCAGGCAACACTTCCCCAGCCTCCCCAGGCTGCCTTCGCACCTCCTCCTCCTCCTCCTCCTCCTCTGCAAGGCCTCTGCCCAGCTCCTGCCCTGGGAAGGAGACCGGCGCGGTCCGAGGGATGCTCCCACCCGAGCGGCCCCGAGCGCGCGGCAGCGGACAGGATCGGTTTGTAAAAACCCAAAGTCTCGCTGATGGAGACCGAAGTGTGCGCTGGTGCGTCTCGGCCGAGCAGACAGCCAGAGAGGCGGGGGGGGAGGGGGACGCCCACCCAC